TGCATGAGTGATAGCTACCCCTGGAAGCACCTCACTACACAGCTCCCAGAGGGATGGCAACAGCCAGTGATGGCATCTTCACAGTGTCTGGTCCAGCTGATGATGGCCTTGCTGTGACATGAGGCCATGCATTTCAATGTACAACCCACAGGTGATGGCTTGGTCCTGTACTGGAGAATCTGCTTAGTCTCAGAAAGTCTGTCAATGGCAGCCCTTAAGAGATTGTGGTGTAAATGAATTACAGATTGACAGCAATGGAGCACTGAGGGGAGGGCTCCTTGAAAGGTGCAGTGTCACCTCCTTTATGGTAAGATGCCAACACAGGTGCCATTGTGAGTTCAGAGTAAAATGGGTGTTGTTACTCTCTGTGCCTGTCTGCCTGCCTTGTGGTTCCATTATGCTTGATTTTGAAGCACGATGCTTTCGTCTGCATTCATCATTTTGGAAGTACACAGAGCTATCAGTTCAGCTGGGTTTGTACCTCAGAGTGCATTTTGTCACAGGGGTCTTAGCAGGCACCAGTCCACGATACAAGGATTTCCTATGTACCATAGAATTAGATGTTCAACCTCTGTGAACAACACAAAATCTCATCTGTCCTGTGTTGCTGGTGCCCAGTGCCAGCAGGTAGTAGGTGGGAATACTGACAAGAGTAGAGGACTTGTGTTCCATTGGATTTTGTTATAAAGTTAGTCTAAGTATAAAAACACATAGCTTTGCCTCTACTAGCCTGTACACATAGAGGCTTTGAGGCTGTGGCAGTCTCATGACCTAGATTTGTGTTTGCTCAAGCTTGAATGAACCAGTTAAGAAATATCTCCAGGGAGACAGACCTTTACTGAATCATGGCAGAGCTGTGCTTTACCCACAGCCCTGGCAGTGACAATTCACTTCAGCTGGGTGGGTGTGGTGTGTCTGGCATTGTCTTGGTGGCTGTTCCACCTTTGCTTGGCTGTGAAATGCAGCTGGGTTTGGGCTGGGAGTTACCTCAGCTCGCTTGGCAAGGGTGGGAAATGCACGTGCCCTCATGGCACTGAGCTGACATTCTGCATTCTCTGTTTGCTTAGCATTGCACTTCAGAGTATCCAGATAAAATCATGGCCTTGTCAGCTCAGACAGCACAGATATGAGGGTAGCAATGGTACAAATTAATCCAGGTGAGTGGGTAAATGATCAGGGAGGTCAGTGTGCACTATCTGGTCTCCCCTCTAAATCCCCCTTCTCCCTGCATCTTTATTTTGCTGTTTTATTTTATTTTATGCTTTTGGCTTGATGGTAGTTAATTCCTGTTGAAATTATGTGATGCAAACTTGTCTCCTTGTCAGTATTGGGAGAAACAGCAATTTTCCCTGTGTTACCTGTGTTTTGAGAGGCCTTGCAAAATGCTTGTTGGGATGACTTTGCTGTCCCTTGCCTTGCGTGTCTCTGTGCACAGCAGCTGCACAGTGAGCTCAGTGCCACATTCTCAGAGCTTGACTCTCAGGTACCATTTGGTTTCTTGGGAAACCTTTTCTGGAATTTCTGTAATTCTGGTTTTATCATGTTAGTTATCTCAGCAGGGCATTGTGGAATGGAGACCTGAGTTGTACATTACCTGAGCCTTACATTCAGAGTGTTGGTTTGGCTTGTGAAATTTTCACTGGTTGGATCCTACACTGTTCTAGTACTCTGTTAATGACAAAAAATCAGGGAAGCTCTCTAATTAGGGCAAGTCTGAACCTCATCATATGGGTGTCATCCTTCCCAATGCTTTTAACATTTTAACATAGATATATTCACAAACAGCAGACAAAACTCATTTTTTGCATACTGTTGTAGAAGGCTTTTTAAGGAGCTGGTTGGGAAAGCTGTTTGTGGGTGAAGCAGAGGTGGGACGAGGAGGTTTGAGAGTAAATCCATGCAAAAACTGTTCATTTACTGTGGTAGCACAGACAGTGTGTACAAATTACTGCTTAGTTAGAAAATACCCTTCCAGAAATTACTGCTGGAGCTGATGGAGGAAGAGGTGCAGTAGGATATGAATAAATTCATTTGTTACTCAGCTTTGGCAGTCCTACTAGATGCTGGTTAGTTCTGGTTTGCTCCTCTTGAATGACACCAGGAGTAAAAGCAATTTTAAATTAATTTCCAGTGGAAATGAAGGGTGGGGGTGTTTTGGCATCAACTTTCTTCCTGTTAATTTGGGAACATTTCTCAAACAAATATGTTGGAGCTTTTGTTCAAAATATTAGTTTGTGACTTGCAGTAGGCAATTTACAGATTTATTTCATAAAATAAAATAGACTTAATATATTTTATATATAATAATAGACCTAATATATTTTTATATATAATAATAGATGTAATATTTTTTATATATAATAATAGACGTAATATATTTTTACATATAATAAGACTTAATATATTTTTATATACAATAATAGACTTAATATATTTTTATATACAATAATAGACTTAATATATTTTTATATATATAAGTGTTTCATTAAATAACTTTTTAGTATTTAATGTTCAGATTGTTTCACTGAAAACACCTACTTTACAAGATGTGAAGAGATGTTTAGTTTTGTAAATATTGGTCTTTAGATTTTCAGAATTTTCAGATTTTTCTCTTATTTTTTTTAATGAAAAGAAATTATTAAAGAAAAATATTTTGACATCTCATTACTTTATGTCTTATTATCTTGGATAATATGTGCTTGAAATCCTTGTGCTTGTTGGCTTTGTTGGTGAGGTATCTCTGAGAGCACACCAAGGCTGCTCATCTCAATCCAAGCACTGCTTAGAATTCTGGTTTGTTCAGATTTTCCAGAATGGGAGCCCTGTGATGGTTCAGCTCAAGGCTTTGACATGCACACTCTGATATGTATCTGCAGGCTCTGGCTTCTCTGAGTTATGCTCTGTGGCTTTTTTAAGAGCTCAAAGCTGCTGCTATTCCTCCCAGAGCTGTCAGATTCATAATTTATTATTCCAGTCTCCCACCTTACAAGCACAGATTAGTCACTGTCTGATTTAGAAATTTCCTACTTTATTACTCACAGTACAAAGCAAACTGTTCCATTTAAAATTTTCTTAATTTTCAGAATCCTTTTAAGTTTTGGTCAGCCATTCCACAGACAGAGTGATTCTGGGGGCACAGAGAGTCCATTGCTTGCACAGAGAAATATTTAAATGATGTGAATCAATGTACAGAAGATAAAGGGAATGTGGAAGATATTTTCCCTTGTTTTGCTCTGTGATCTCAGCCCCTTTTCTTGACCAAGTTCTTAGATCTTTTGAGAAAGAACAGCTGTCCTGTTCTGGCTGTTACCCAGGAGATGGAAACTGCCTATCCCATTTATTACTGAAAGCCAAATGGAGAGATTTAGAGCCTGAGGATAATCTGGAGGTGGCAAATAAAAACCTTTCTCTTGAGTTTGAGAACATTCTATTGGAGGAAGCTGGTAAGTCATGAGCTCTGTTTCAGATGAAGCATCCTTTGGTGTCTCTGAAAGCAAGAACCCTGAGCTGAAGGAAACCAGACCACTGATATATTTAGGTCCTTCCTTCTTTGAGTTGAATTTGGCCCTGGAAAAAAAAAATAGGAGTGGTGGTGGGAGGAGACAGTAACAGGTTCCCAACTTGTAAAAGTGCATTAAAGATATCAGGGAGAAATTTGTATATCTGTTTATATAGGGAAGGGAAAAAACATTATTTTGCAGAGTTGAGAACCTTGTATGAGGGAGAAGCATCCAAAATGTAGAAACAGCAAAAAGAAGAATAAAGATGGAGCAGCTTAGCTGTGGATGCTGTGGACTCCCATTTTATGGAGCTTTGTCAGAATGGATTAAATGAGCATCTGGCAGGGACAGCAGGGGGATGCATCACTTTGCAATGCAAGGCACTGTGCTGGGCTGCCTTGTGATGCTCTTTCTGAACATGTTTATGTTTTATGGGGTGCATGATCACAAAGTGAAAGTATTAAAAAGCTGAAAACCTAAACCATTGACCACCACATTGGTGGTTTTTATGAAGGTTGAGGGCCATTACTTGTTTCTGTATGTGGATATGAGGATGATGAGGATGGATAAGGCGAATGACCCTAAGTAGGTTTGATTAGACCAGAATGGAGGGCGGTGGCAGATTTGGTTGCTATTAGTTCTAGGTTTTAAAACATTTTAAACTGTACTTTTAAAAGAACATTCTCTAAGACACAGGACCCCTGCTTGTTATGCAGAAATTAGTTGGGCATTCTAGTGCATTCTGTATTTATGGAGAATGGATTTAAGTTCTGAAGAGTTCTTGGAGATGGTTGTGGAAAGTCTAGTGATGGAAGAGTGGCTTGGACTGTTAAAACAGCAAGGGAAGGCACTGGAGACAAAACCCAGACTATCTACAAAATGAAACAATACAAAAAGCATCTGTAGCTTCCTGTTTCTGTAAAAAAAATGCTGTCAGATTTGGTGTAGTTTTTAAATATAGCTGAAATGAAAAATAACTCATTCTCGAAGCTTTCTGTAGCTGCGCAACAGGCTAAAAACATCTAGCAGGTCTATGTGGAGACTTGAGAAAAACCATAACACTATATTGCACATTTCAGAATCTTCAGGGAGGAGTAGTTATGGGCTAAGAAAATCCTACTTTTGATGAAGTAGTTATTTTAAGCTGTTGGTTACAAGCTGGTCTAGATGATCTAATAAAAATGTGTGGAGAGAAAAAGATGTATAAGAAAAAGTAAATATGTTGCCAATATACCCAGTGAGTGTGTTGGCTTTTTATGCACCATTTTAACCTTTCTCAAAGAAAATATGAACATTTAGTATGTGTGCACAAGTTTGTGAAAAATGAATTTCCATTACACCAAGAAAAATACGTGTTTTGGCCAGTTTCTACCTTAATGAGCCTTTATATAGAAGCGCAATTGAAAAAATGCAATTTTACTGAACTAGTTTAATGAAACGCTGATTATATTAAAGCATTAAATGAAAAGCTAAGCAATAATACCCCTCCTTCTTTTTCAGGTGCTTGAGTAGGAGCTCGC